AATAATAAAATTCTAAAACTGTTTCTTTTTTCCTAGAAGATTTACCACCCGGCCCTCTACCCCGACCAGGCAGAAAACGGTAGGTCTTGCCTCTTTCAGCACATCCTCGCACAAGTCTCGAACCTGCTTTTGTTTTCTACTTTTCTTTCAATAGACCCTTTTCGAGCTCCAAATTACCGCTGTGTTTCTTGATTACAGACTCATTTGCTCAGGCTTAGCCTCGATTTTATGAATACTCACGTTTTCCAGTCAAGGCCCGTCAAGTTTCAAAGTGTTCGTATTGTTGAGTTTGTGCATTCTTTACTTTACCGTTGGTATTTGCGAGTAATTAGACACTGATTCGAGGCTTAGCCTGAGCAAATAAGTCTGTAATCAAGAAATTAAACACAGCGGTGATTTGGAACTCAATAAGGATATATTAGACCTCGACTTTCCAAATATAACTGAATTTCAAAAGCGGTACGAGATACTTACTCTATTCTATAATATAAAATTTCTCATTAAAATTTCTTTCAAATTTAGATTTCTCGTTTTGGTTTCCAAATACATCATCGCCAGCAATTGCGATGATTAATCGGCAGAAGTGTGCAAACTATATATCCATAAAATATTACTAAGTAATTAGTACAACATGCGACCAATGAAACAACTGAAAACAAAAGCAATATATATTGTGTTTAGTGCTATTTAGATTTTGTCCTATTTCACGAATATATGGTTTGCACTATGGCTTAACGTGTATAATATAATGTGATGCTAACAAAATTATTTATTTCTCTGCCGCCCTGTTATGAATAAATATGTTTTGCATTTCTAATTCAATTTCTTATTTTCCTTGTGTTTTAGCCTTTTTCAAGAGAATTACTGAATGATTAACACAGAGAGAAGACAGATTATCGGCAAAGGGAAAGCCTCTGTTTCTAGCTAGTTTCATCCTGACTTTCAATCAATTCCATAACCATGTAATGTTAAATTCAACAATAATGCTTTAACATCACCAGCTTGCTTGTACATTTAATTTCAACATATGAAATAGAAAAATCTCAAATTATACTTAGAAAATAATAAAGAATACAGTTTGAAACTATTGATTGTTGTTATATTAAACAAATATATTTCTTGTGAGAACTCCAAAAAACTATCAAAGAAGCAGTGCCAAGACCAACTTAACTTTATAAAATATACAATAGACTCATTGAAGCACTTTGAAATGCAGCTCAATCCGGGAAGCAAAACAATAGATTCCAGTTCTAAGAAGATTGGAAATCTTCATGAATGATTAATTGATGTTTCATAAATGATGTCCCAATATTACTGAATTTACATTCTTCACAAATAATTACTTCTTTTATACCCTAAAAATATTGGACAAAATTCATCAAAACCATGGGCTATAGTCCATCCTTTTTGCCCTAAAATGGCCAAAAATCATTGAATTTGATACATTCACAAATGATTCATATTTTTAAAAAAGGTGTTAAAATAGGCAAAAATTCATGAAAACCATGGGCTATAGCCCATGCTTTTCGCCCTAACATGGTCAAAAATCATTGAATTTGATACTTTCATAGATGATTCATATTTTTCCAAAAGGTGTAAAAATGGGACACAATTCATGAAAACCATGGGTTATAGTCCATGCTTTTCGCCCTAAAATGGCCAAAAATCATTGAATTTGATACGTTCATGAATAATTCATATTTTTCCAAAAGG